TAGAGGTGGAGCTGGGGAAGGTGGAGGGTTTCTGAAGTGCCCTGCCAACTGCTACAGCAAACAAAAAACAGGTATTTGAATATTGAGCAGCGAGCTCATTGGCTACCGATACAGGACAGAACCAATCAGCTGGCATGTGACAATGATGTCACCAGGTCAGATTGAACTAGACCTGTCGGACTGCACCATCTAGAGTTTCATGCCAGAACTCTTGTGTGTGTGTGTGTGTGTGTGTGTGTGTGTGTGTGTGTGTATATATATATATATATATATATATATAATATGTGTGTATGTATATATAAAGATATTATTCAATTATTCAATTTCTTTATAATTTGTTTGCACAAATTGGGGGCAGCATCCTTTGTTGGATCCTACAGTTGTGTGTTCTTTGATGCCCACAGGCACTGACGTCTTGAGCAGCGAGCTCATTGGCTACCGATACAGGACAGAACCAATCAGCTGGCATGTGACAATGATGTCACCAGGTCAGATTGAACTAGACCTGTCGGACTGCACCATCTAGAGTTTCATGCCAGAACTCTTGTGTGTGTGTGTGTGTGTGTGTGTGTGTGTGTGTGTGTATATATATATATATATATATATATATAATATGTGTGTATGTATATATAAAGATAGATAGATATTATTCAATTTCTTTATAATTTGTTTGCACAAATTGGGGGCAGCATCCTTTGTTGGATCCTACAGTTGTGTGTTCTTTGATGCCCACAGGCACTGACGTCCCTCTCCACTGAGATGATGGAGCTGCTTAGATCACTACATGTACATACCCTTAAAGATGAAGAGATTCTGCTCCTCAAAGACCCCAAAAGGCCCTTTGAGAGAAAAGATAGTGTTTCTCAGGTATACATATTATGTTTGAAAATTTAGAGTATGTTTATGTTTTGTGTGAGACGTGTTTGCTGTTGTCATTATTTTGATATCAGGTGTCCTTCATTGTTTCGTCTGGGTTTCTAAATTTGTGGTATCGTTTTGTGTGAAATTGGGTCTAAACGGAACTAACCTTGTTGTAGGCAGCCATGGTATTAAGTTTTGTACTTTGAACATTACATAAAACCACAAGTGTTTTTCAGACATAACAAGAGATTGCATGCCTTCTTTCACGCATGTCAGGGAAAATAAGAGTGCTGTGAGAATTCTGAAATCACAACTTGTCAAGAAATTATGTCAGTTCAGGGTTTGACAATTTGCAGGCTTTATGTTTGTAATTATGCAGAATTATGTTTATCTTCCAGATTAACATTAGGTTTATCATAACAATTTATATGGAGAATGCATCATGACGTAAAGGCTTTCATTGTGTCTTCCTAGCATTTGATTGATTCTTTTTAAAAAAATGTTATTCATTCATTGTTTTTTAAAAATGCAGGCGTTATTTTCTTTCTCTCACAGGCATATTCAAGAGTCTTGTGCATATTGAGACATAGCCCCACTCCTCAGATTAGTGTTTGCAGCATGCTGGGGTTGTTGGCTCGATACACAGCTGGGATAAGGTATGCACTGGAGTTACAGGTTCTGCAGAGGGGCATCTCAGAAGCATGCCAAGCTGAGGATGATGACACCAATCAATCTGTCTCTTCTATCGAAGAGGACTTTGTTACTGCTTTTGAGCATCTTGAAGAGGAAGATACAGGTTATTACTCATGATGTTTTCATGATAATATTAGGATAACTTCCTGTTTCAATGTGAGTTTGAATGAAACCGTTTTATTTTATTAAGTTACACTACCATTCAAAATGTTGAGGTCGGTTGGATGTTTTTGAAAGAAGTCTTTCAAATGCCCACCAAGACTGCATTTATTTAATTTGAAATAAATGTTCTCTATTTTAATATTCTTTAAAATGTCATTTATTCCTGTGATGCAAAGCTACATTTTCAGCATCATTACTCCAGTCTTCAGTGTCACATAATCCTTCAGAAATTATTCTAATGTGCTGATTTGCTGCTCAAGAAACATTTCTTATTTTCGTTATCAATGTTGAAAACACTTGTGTTGCTTAATATTTTTGCGTGATGCATTTCTTTTTATTGTTTCTTTGGTGAATAGAAAGTTGAAAGGAAGTGCATTTATTTGAAATAGAAATCTGCTGCAACATTATAAATGTTTTTACTGTTTTGATCAATTTAATGCATCCTTGCTGAATGAAAGTATTAATTTCTTTCAAAAATATCTTACTGACCCTAAACTTCTGAACAGTTGTGTGTAAATATTCATTTTAGCTCTGCTGAATGAGAAGCATAGATAGCAAGTGACCAGCAACCATAAAAGCTTTGAAAGTAAATGCTTGTGATCAGCTGCTAGTTCTGCATTTAATTAACTGTTAATAAGAATTGTTATTATGGACTGTTCTCTGATCTTGCAGGTGCCCGTAGTCAGAGGAATCAAAAGAATGTGGCATCCCAGACTGTTCCCTCGCATTTAAGAGACTTATCTGGAACTCGGATTATTATAAGTTCCATACCGAGGAAGTCGTTGCGCAAGGAAAAGGCTGCCTCAAAAGTGTCAGAAACTGTCCAGAAGTCAACACCGTGGCCCGCAAGTTCTGAGAGCTCATATGCACTTAGCAGTCTTCCAAAGGGACGCGCTACTTCCACATCCCTCACAGAGTCAGATGAGTCAGACTGCTCAAGTCCCAGCCCTATTATATTCCTGGATGAAGTTGGATATCAGAAGAGTCTTAAAGCAAAACTTGACATTCCCAAGATCCCTGTTTTAAAGGATGGAGTAGAAGACTCTGACTCAGAAGTCAGTGAATTTTTCGACAGCTTTGATCAGTTTGATGAACTAGAGCAGTCTTTTGATTCCAACATCAAGGTCCTTAAAGAACAGCCCCTCCCTGGTCAAACACAGAAGCATGTTGACAACTCTGGTTGTAAATTTGTATCAAGGGGGTGCTCAACCACAGCAATGAACCCTCAAAAGTTTGATCATAGGACTCTTCCAGCCAATGTCAAGAAACCAACTCCACTTAAACCAGGATCACCGTACAGTATTCACTCTGATTCACCAGATTCCCCACGGCCTGCGAGGACTCCCTGCAAGGAAAGCGGGCCGCTCTTCAGTCCAGTTCGTTCATCTGCATTTAGCCCACTGGGAGAAGGAGGGTCCTTAGAGTATTTTTGGAAGGCAGATGGAGATGGCTCAGAATTATGTAAACCACAGGATCTTTGCTCGCTGTACAAAACGTACTCTGATTTTGCCAACAACCTGTCAAAAGAAATCCTTGGATCTGTCTGTGGGTACTCATCCCCTGTTGATTTTAACATTAATAAGAACTTGAGCTGTGTGTGTCATAAGGAGTTCAAAAACACTAATGGGCATCTAATGAAGCTTTCAGACATCCAGGAGACAGTCACCATCACCAAATCCCAATCACAGTCTCTTAAGGATGGGATTCAGAAGTTTGCTACAGACTTGGTTGAAATGAGCCTTGGAAGTGCCTTAAAGGACTTGCAGAAAGGTGTGTCCTCCTGTACCACTACACTTTGCCATTTGGCTGCAAGGCTGACTTCTTCAGTATTTCAAATGGCCTTTCATGAGATAGGTATGCGCCATGCATATGTGTTAAAAGAGCATGCCATAAACGGTCTAGCCAGTTTCCTAGTAGGAGAAGCCATTTCTGGAGCCCTCAAAGAGTTTCTCTTTGTGAAAAAGCAGATTTTCAACAATACTGTCACACGATTTGCTGCAGATC